GACACGGACCACAAGCTCGTAATCAATAGTATATATCGGGCATTTTTGTTCACATTTACATAATTATTAAAATATATTCGGGTGTCCAATCACATGATTGAAGATATGCATGAATGAAAATCAGTGGTAAGAATTGTATACGATTCTGAAGAAATCGACGAATCTACTGTGTACCTCGGAAGTATAGAGACAGAGTCTGTATCAGCGGCTAGATGGTCTTGACCCGTGGTACTGGATTTACAGTAGCGGAGCGGGGAAGGGATGGTGGAGCTTAAAGCGCGGTGGTTGTCGCGCAGCGCGTGTTAGAATTGCATGTAAATAAACAATGTATTTTACACGCGTTGTATACGTCGCTATGAGTCCCATATCGATCAGGACGCGGCACGACGACCACCGCCCTTTAAATCTAGTCAGGATATCTTCTAATTACAAATCATTTTGTTTTTTGTTATTCGTTTCATATAATGAGTAGATATTATACGTTTTATTATTGTGTGGTGTCTAAATTACTTAGCAAAAATAGAAAGAAAAGTGAGACTTCCCACAAAGATGCCATAAGCATGACGTTACTTAATGAAACCTAAATGAAAGTCACGCCCTCTTGCAGCGAAACGCTTATGTGACGTCAAAATGACGTAGATTTAGTTGCGTAGCTGTTAGTTATTTGAAATATTTATACAATTTTTTTTTACTATTAACGTTAATAGGCCTTAATTAGGTATTTTTTAGGTGATTTGAAGGTATCGAAGTCGCGTACTTGTGATTAGAAGAGCGCATTGGATTGTGGGAAAATCAATGTTTATGAACACAAATGTCGCACATGCGCAGCGCGACGACCACCACCCTTCAAATGCGTTCCTTCACATCTATTTACGTCGCAAAAACACTTGGTCGATAGAGGGCGCAACGGTTCATTACACTAGTAAGCAAATGATAGTGTGCACAAATAGTGGGATTCATTTCACATTGCATTCAACATCACTGAGCCCTCAAATATTCAATAGTTGATTTTCCGAACAATTGCGAGATCACGCGAGATGCATGAAAGACGCGCGTCGAACGTCTGCCGCAAAAATCGAACGATTTGATTTTGAACTTTATTCCGCAGCTTACATTGACCGGCCGATCTTCGACAGAGGAATATTGCTTCCGAATACCCTTACTTAATCGAAATTGCCTATCATCAAATGTGGACAGCACATTATTAAGCATGGAAATGTCCCCGAAATACTTTCGCGTTTGTCGAATCCCACGCGATGTTTGACGCGACTACGACGCTATGACCTTTGTTTGTCCTGTTTTTACGTTCGATTTCACGCATAACGCGTGATTCTCGCAGTGTACGGAAAATGGTCTATTTGGCAAACAAGCTTGTGTCATCAGTGTACTGTCTACACAGCAAGTATCAAAATGGCTGTCAATTCAACTCATTACTATGGTAACATTGTGGCTTACAACCAAGCAGAACCAATAGAGAGGGGAGGCAAGGGGGGTAGCTTGTACGGTTTTACGGGAAATAAAAAGGGCTTTTCACAATTTACGAAGAAAAAAAAGACGTTTTTACAGTTTACAGTGTTAACAAATGGAACATTGAATGGTCCGAAGAGCTCTCCGACTCAAATTCTCCACCATTGCTGCCGCCGTGTGGAGAGATGCATGTGCATATTACCCTCGTAATGCTCTTCATTCGGTTAGAGGGCCTTTTACGTCTTGACATTCAATTTTGTAGTGAATTGTGTCATCTAGTCGTTTTACAGTTTCTAAAATGTAATTTCCCTGGATTATTCTTTACGATTTTTTTTATTTGGATGTGAATTTCTTGTACGTACGAGAAAAATGCCAAAAAACATTTTTACTAGTGTACGAAAAAAATATTTGATTGATTACGTTGT